GGCTTGACCTTCGCCAGCCTTCGCACGTCGGGCTCTCGTCGCGTCGAGTGCAGCTGATGGCGTCGGGCTCGTCCTTCGCCTTCTTCCTGCGTCGCTCGTTGTCCCGCGTTGCCTCCCGCTTTTCGCGCGCTGATCGCACAGCGGCTCCAGGCGGATGGCGTCGGGCTCCAGCTTCGCCTTCCCATTTCTCGCACATTGCCCTCGATCCCAGCATTGTAGCTGAACGCGTCGGGCTCTACCTTCGCCTTCCGCTTCGGCGTCGGTGTTTGGGTCGGGCTCCGCGTCGGGCTCAACCTTCGCCTGTCGGGCCTCGTAGCTGATGACGTTGGGCTCGACCTTCGTCTTCCCTCTCGCTTGGTGCCGCGGCATCGCCTGCTGCCGCTGCTCGCGGAGGGAAGGGTTGGTGTTGCGGACTCCAGCTTCGCCTCCCGCTTCTCGTATTGAGGCTTCCTGCCGCTGCCCGCTTTTTGTGTGGCGTCTCCCGCACGAACTGGTCTCAACTATGTAGCTGATGACGTTGGCCCGCCCGTTCTCGCCTGGCACGGACGGCTCCCAGCACGGCTGATCGTGGCTCGCCCGCGCTTGTCTGCCTGGCGGGTGGAGGAGGAGGGGGAGGGGGAGGGGGACGAGCGGAGGAACGGGGAGGGGGCAACCCACCTTCTTGATGGCTCCCTGGCAGCTGGACCCGCGCTCGGTCGTGGGCTGCCAGGGCTGACTCGACGTTGCTCCCGGGGCCATGGCCACTCTCAAGTTGGGCCCATCGGAACACCCCGGCCCCCGCGCCCGGAACCTTGGGTGGAAAATGGCTGAGGAGGAGGAGGAGGAGGGGGAGGAGGAGGGGAGGAGGGAGGAGGACGAATGGGACGCGGGGCGTTGTCGTATCAAAATGAGGACGCAACACCACAGGATGGTTGAGAAGTATTCAGGATGACAAAAAAACAGTACTCGGGTTGAGGTCGAAACTTCAGGGAGGGCCGCATTTATAGGTTTACAAGATGGGGTCGGAGTAGATAGCGACCGTAGATCGCGCCGAACCACCGATGCATCGCTGGTGCTGCTCAATGTGGCGTTCGGTGTCCTCCGCGCTGGCGTCGCTGGCGTCGCCGATGCATCGCGGACGTCGTCTGTGCATTGGCGATGCGGCGCTCCTCCAACCCCATCTACTCGATCTCCATGAGGGAGGCCGCTCATGGACCAAAGTCCAGATCCAAGTAATTTTGTTGCCAGACCTCCAACGCAGTTTAAAAAATCAGGTCGGAGGTTGTTCATAGTTTTTCTGTCTCCAGGGGCCCTCGCCAGGCCCGAAGGATCTAGGATTAACGCCAGTTCCAAGGAAGGGCTCCAGACCCCTGAGGCTCGACGTTGCGAAAAAAGACACGACCTCGGAGTTCTGCGAAAGTCCAGGTCCAAGTAATACCCATGCTCGTCATTGTCAAAGTCGTTTACCCCGTCCCCGCTCTTGCGTCGAAGACAGTAACCGCGTAAGCATAATTTGTAGGAGCTGCGCTAAGATTTCTTGGGTCGGCGTCAGGACCTCCTGGCGCTGCCTCAGGCGCGCCCCGCGCGCCAGGGAGGAGGACCCAGCGCAGATCCAAGAAATCAGCGTGGACCTCCCAAAGTGCGTGTGTGTTGTTGTGTTGTTTTGTGTTGTGTGTGTGTCTGTGTATGTGTCTGTGCCTGTGTCTGTTTATGTGCGTACGTGTATGCGTGAGTGCGTGCGTGCGTGTGTGTGTGTAGATGTGTGTGTGTGTGCGTGTGAATGTGTGTGTGTGTGTGCGTGTGTGTGTGTGTGTGCGCGTGTGCGCGTGTGCGTGTGTGTGCGTGTGTGCGTGTGTGCGTGTGGGCGTGGGTGCATGGGTGCGTGGGTGCGTGGGTGCGTGTGTGCGTGTGTGCGTGTGTGCGTGTGTGTGTGTGCGTGCTTGTGTGTGTGCGTGTGCGTGCAAGTGTGCGTGCAAGTGTGCGTGCGTGTGCAAGCGTGTGTTGTGCGTATGGGAGCGTGTGTGTGCGTGTATGGGTGTGTGTGTGTGCGTGTGTGCATGTGTGTGTGCGTGTGTGCGTGCGTGTGTGCGTGTGTGCGTGTGTGCCGTGTGCTGTGTGCGTTTTTTCACCTGTGTGTGTGTGTGTGTGTGTGCGGTGTGCGTGTGTACGTGTGTGTGTTTGGTGCCCGTGTGCGCGTGTGTGCGTGTGCGTTCGTGCGTGTGTGCGTGTGTGCGTGTGTGCGTGTGAGCGTGTGTGTGCGTGTGTGCGTGTGTGCGTGTGGGCGTGTGGGCGTGGGTGCATGGGTGCGTGGGTGCGTGGGTGCGTGGGTGCGTGTGTGCGTGTGTGTGTGTGTGCGTGCTTGTGTGTGTGCGTGTGCGTGCAAGTGTGAGTCGCAAGTGTGTGAGTGAGTGTGCAAGCGTGGTGTTGTGCGTATGGGAGCGTGTGTGTGGTTATGGGGTGTGAATTGTGCGGTGTGCATGTGTATGTGTGCGTGTGTGCGGTGTGCTGTGCGTGTGTGGAGTGTGTGCGTAGAGCGATGTGCAAGGGTGTGCGTGGTGTGTGAGTGTTTGTGTGTGTGTGTGTGTTTTGCGTGTGGTTAGTGTGTACGTTTGTAGGTTGTGTGTGAAGTGTGCGCGTAGTAGTGCGTGGCGTAGTGCGGTGTGTGAGGTGGTGCGTGTGTGCGTGTGTGCGTGTGTTGCGTGTGTGCGGTGTGGCGTGTGTGTGCGTGTGTTGCGTGTTGTGTGTGTGGTTTTGTTAATGCAGTGTGGTGTTCCCCTTGCGATCCCTCGGTGGTGTGTTGTGTGAGTTGTGTGTGTGCGTGTGTGTGCGTGTGTGTGCGTGTGTGTGCGGTGTCGTGCGTTCTCGTGTGTGAGTTTGTGTTGAGTGTGATTGTGCGTGAGTTGTGCGGTGTGGTGAGTGTGTGTTGAGTGGGTGTTGGCACGTTGTTGATGTGGTGTGTTGTGAGTGTGTGTGAGTGTGTGTGCGTGTGTGGTGTGTGGTGTGTGGTGCGTCTGTGTGCGTGTGTGTGAGCATGTGTGCGCGTATGCGTGGTGTGTGTGTGTGTGTGCGCGTGTGCGTGAAAGTGCCGGCTGCCGGTGTGGCGCGTCGTGCGCGTGGTGTGCGTTGTTTGTGCTGTGTGGGTGTGTTTTGGCGTGTGCGTTGTTCCGCGGTGCGTGCGGGTCGCGAGCGCGTGCGCGTGCGCGTGCGCAATGCGGCGTGCGCGTTTTTTTTTGGGGGGGCCGGGGCGGCGTCATAGTGCGCGCGCAGCGCGTGTGTGAGCGTGCGCGGTGAACGTGCTTGCGCGCGTGCGTGCGTGTATGCGCGGGTGTGCGTGTGTGTGTGCGTGTGTGTGCGTGTGTGTGTGCGTGTGTGCGTGTGTGCGTCTGTGTGTGTATGTGTAGGTGTGCCGGTGCGCGCGTGTGCACGTGTGCGTGTGTGCGTGTGTGCATGTGTTCGTGTGTGCGTGCGTGCGTGTATGTGTGTGTGGGTGTGTGGGTGCGGGTGGGTCTGTGGGTGTGTGGTTGTGTGGGTGTGTGGGCGTGTGTGTGGGTGTGCAAGTGTGGGTGTGTGGGTGTGTGGGCGGGTGTGGGTGGTGGGTATTTATGTGTGTGCGTGCGTGTACCAAATAATGTGGTTGGTGTGGTGTGCGTGTGTGTGCGTGTGTGCGTGTGTGCGTGTGTGTGCGTGTGTGTGCGTGTGTGCGTGTGTGCGTGTGTGCATGTGTGCGTGTGTGCGCGTGTGCGTGTGTGCGTGTGCGCGATTGTGCGTGTCTGCGTGTGTCTTCGTGTGTCTGCGTGTGCCTGCGTGTGTCTGCGTGTGTCTGCGTGTGTGTCTGCGTGTGTGTGCGTGTGTCTGCGTGTGTGTGCCTTTGTGTGCCTCTGTGTGACGTTGTGCGCATTTGTGTGCGTTTGTGTGCATGTGTGTGCGTGTGTGTGCGTGTGTGTGTGTGTGCGTGTGTGTGCGTGTGTGTTTGGTCGTTGTGTTGTGGTGGCGTGTGGGTGCGTGTGTATCGTGTGTGTGCGTGTGTGCGTGTGTGCATGTGTGCGTGTGTGCGTGTGTGCGTGTGTGCGTGTGTGCGTGTGTGCGTGTGCGCGTGTGTGCGCGTGCGCCTGCGCCTGCGCCTGCGTGTGTGCGCGTGTGCGCGTGTGCGCGTGTGCGCGTGTGCGCGTGCGTGTGCGTGCGGATGCGTGTGTGCGTGTGCGTGCGCGTGCGGGTGCGTGTGTGTGTGTGTGCGTGTGCGTGTGCGTGCGTGTGTGTGTGTGTGTGTGTCTGTGCGCCTGTATGTGCGTGCGTGCGTGTCCGTGCGTGCGTGTGCGTGCGCGCGCGTGCGTGCGTGCGTGCGTGTGCGTGCGTGTGTGCGTGGGCGTCTGTGTGTGTCTGTGTGTGTCTGTGCGTGTGCTTGCCATTATGTGTTCGACGATCGGCACCGTCGTTCTTCAGTCCCTCCTTGTTGTTGTTGTTGACCTCGTTGTCCTCATTCACCGCCGTCACCAGCACCAGTTATCAACCAACAATCGTCATCACACTTAGGATCACTAACATCGTCCGGACGCTCTTGACCGCCTCAGACACATGGTACCACCATCATCAGCATCACCGTTATCATCAGCACTATCGCAGTGCACCCAACCAACACGCGGATCGCGGCTGCGCTGGCGCGTCTTAAGCGGGGACCGCGCCCGCCCCACGAAATCAGAGAGCCAGTGACCCTTCCCCCCTCGTCCCTCGTATGCTCGTCCTCCCCTCCACCGTCCTCCTCCTCCTCCTCCTCCTCTGCCCTCTTCAGTTGCCCGAAGCGGGATGGCCCTAGGGTGCAGCCTTCTTTTGGATGCGTGCCGTTGGTTTGACGCCCTCGGAGTGGAGGCGCCGAATGGGCCGCTGCGCCCTCAAGAGGCCACACTCCCTCGTCCGCCTCCCCACGCCCCACGACGTCCAGGGTCTACGAGGATGCGGGTTCCCGCCCTGCGGGCACAGATGCACAGATCCCTGTTGAACATAGATTGTGCTGTCCAAGCCCCGAGGCAAGACACGCACCGGCTGATGCTGCCCCTGACCGCAGTGTACTGCATGGGCGACGTGGCCTCCCTCTGCGCCATCGGCCACGGAGACGGGGGGGGAGGGGGGAGAAGGGGGGGAGGAGGAGGAGGAAGAGAAGGAGGAGGAGGAGGAGGAGGAGGAGGAGGAGGAGGAGGAGGAGGGAGGAGGGAGCAGGGGAGGAGGAGTGGAGGGGGGGGGGGGCGAGCCCTCTGTCTCTCCAGCCTCCTCCCCCGCTTGCCTACCCTCGTCCTGCTGCTGCTGGTCCTCCCTCGCCCCCGCCCCCCCCCCTCCGCTGCAATCTCCTGCTTCTTGCCGTCCTCGAGCGCCTCCCTGTCGTCCTCGATCTCGTGAGCGGTCGGGCAGAAAAGGGGGGGGGGGGGGGGGAAGGGGGGGGCGAAGGGAGAGGGGGGGCGTGGGGGGCGTGGGGGCGCAGAAGGGGGGGAGAGCGGAGAGGCAGGGCGACATGGAGGAAGCTGGGAGGGGGATGGGGAGGACTGTCGAAAAGCGAAAAGCGACGGGGGGAGGATGGCGGAGAGGAGGCAGGGGAAGGGGGAAGAGGGGAGGGTGGGGGTGCGGAGTGTGAGGAGGGGCGATCGGGGGTGGGGGGATGGAGACAAGGGAGGAGGTCGAAGAAGGGAGGGGGAAAAGTGGGATCTAGCAGGAGGGGGGCAAATTTGACATGTTCGCCCCATGTCTGTCACCCGACCCATCCCACACATCGTTTCCCGTTGCATTGAATTGTGTGGTATCCGCCGCTTGCGCTGTCCTAGAGGCCTCTGATCGCCGAAATGACCCCATCGCGTGATGCGCAGAGAGGAGAATGGGAGGCGTCGTACATTAGATGAGGAGGAGGTGGCGGATGAGCAGAGAGAAAGAGGAGGAAGAGGAGGAAGAGGAGGAGGAGGAGGAAAAAACAGCATCAGCAGCAGCAGGAGGAGTGGCGCCCCCACCGTGGGCAGCATCGGACGAGGGAGAGCGGCACCCGCAGCGTGCAGATGGTGGCACGGGGGAGCGGATCGGCGGCGAACCCGGGGGTCGCACGCTGGCATGCGGCATCCGTGGATTTGGCGCGTGGGCGCCAGACCCACGGCTCGGCGAGGGCTTCCCCATGGGCATGGCGCGTGTGCCGCCCGCAGCGCGGCGCTTCTGTGCCGGATCGGGACCCGTCGCTGACCCACGCGCTTCAATCGATGCTCGCGTTTCCTCGACTAGCCTCGCCCCTGATCCCCCCTCTCCACCTCCGCCTCCGCCGCCTCCTCCTCCTGAGCCTGTCCCCCCCTGACGTTGCCCCTAATCCCCCCTTTCCTCCTCCTCCTCCTCTCGGCGGCGAGCCTGGGGAGAAGTGAGAAGGGGCGGGCCTTCTCAGAAGGCTCGGAACTTCTCGGGCCGTCTGAAAAGTGTTCTAGGCTCTCCCCGAAGTCAGAGGGAACCTCTCAGATGGCTGGAGGGCTTCTGAGAAGGCCTCCGCCTTCTCGCTTCTCCCCACGCTCGCCGCCGAGAGAGTCACCTGCTTGCCTCCTTCTCTTCATCGTCCGCCTCCTTCGCCGAGGCCCCCCCCTCTCCCCTCCCCCCCGAGAACCCCGTTCGCCAGGGTCACCGGAGCCCCCTGGGAACCATCCGGGACCATCCCGATCCCAGCGTCTTGGCATCGCTCCGACATGTGCACTGTTTCCTCGGCGAGTGCCATCGAGGAGCATCTCTGAAATCCTCTGCGCAAGAGGTACAAAAAGAAGCGCGCGACGGCACCCAAAAACACACGTGCGGAGTGGACGCCCGAGCGATGGCGAGCCGCCCCCCCTCCCTCCAGACCCCATCCGTCCAGATGCGGCACGCGCGCGGCGGAACTCCAGCAGGGTGCGCCGCACGTCTCAGCGAGCGAAGAACGGTATAAAATAAACTTTCCAGCCGCCCAGGGGCAGGTGTCCCCGACGGCGAAAAAGTTTATTTTATAACGTTCTTCGCCCGTTAAACGTCAGGAACCCCAAAAAAGCGCCCCTGCCCTGATCTGCGAGGCGCCGTGCGCCGAGCCTCCCGTGGGCTGCCAGGACAGACCCTGCGCGAGCCGCGCGCGCCGCGCGGCCCACCGGCGACTCTCTCTCTGGCCTTTGGGAGCTCGCAGGAGGTTTGCAGACAAACAGACCACGCACTTGTAACCGAGGGCAGGCGCGTGTTCCCTGACCTTCCAGAGAGCAATTTTTTCAGCACTGGAGGCCTAGAAACCTAAAAAGCTGAGCGAAGCAGCCTAAAACCAAGACGTAGAATAGCTTTGGGACAGGTTTTTGAGTCGCGTGCTATTTTTTAGCCCTCTTGGAAGGTCAGGGTTTTCATCTCCCTCAAGTACGGGCACGATGGCTGGAGTCTCCGGGGAGGCTTGCCGGTCCGCAGCCCCGTCGCGCTGGCCAGGGCGCGCGTTGCGGGCGGAGTGCGCACGCGTCCAGCCGCGCCCCGCGGCCCGCGGAGCAAGCCGCCATCACTTCACAACGG